TCCATTTTAACATGTGGTTTTGAGCAATTTTCTTAACATTGATTTCTATTTTTATTGCACTGTGCTCTAAGAGTGTGGTTGGTATGATTTTGGGTGTTGTTAATTTTTTTTCTAAGGATTGTTTTATGCCCAACTCTGCATATCACATTTTTATTGTACCTTTAGATATGTTTGGATACACAATACTTGCCATTGTGTATACATCACTCAGTATAGTCACATGTTGTACAGGTTTGTAGTTAGGAGCATAAGCTATACCGTATAGGCTAACTGTATAGTAGTCTATACCCTCTAGGTTATGTAAGTACACTCCATGGTGTTTGCACAAAGACAAAATTACCTAAGGATAAATTTCTCAGAAGGTGTCCCAGTCGTTAAGTTATACATGACTTGTAGTGATTCCTAACAAACTGGAGACAGTGGTGGAAAAAAAGTATTTTATTTCATTGTATGTCCTTTTATATTCTTTAAAATTTCTTAGATGTATATATATTTCTTTTTTAAAATGTGCATTTTTAAACAAATTGAAGAGAAGATGGAAAGAAAGAACTTCATTGCACGAACATAGTTTGTTTTTTCAAGGCTTACCAAAATAACACAATCTTACTGCAAGAAGAGGCACACCCTGGAATAATATCAGGAGGCTGACAAATGCTCTTCCAGTTTTTCTCAGAATGAGAAAATGTAAATTTTAAAGTCTAAAATTTTTTAACATATGTAAACTTATGAGTGATAAGGACTATAGAAAAATTCTTAGAATTTCCCTGAGCATTTAGAAAAGATAGTGGTTACTTCTGATATTTGCCATTATTATATTATTTAATTCTCAAAACCAGAAGTAGCTAGATAATTTGTGTGTTTAGTGCAAAATGAAATTACAGGGTTTCCTGTTCAAAACCTAAGAATTTCAAGGCAGTGGAAGCAGAGCTTGAAAACAAGCATGGAAGCCTTCTGAGCAGGGGTCCTGGACAACCGCATAAATTATAAGCCCATGAAGCTGTCCTTGCTTGTAACACACCTGGGAAGAAATGTGTTATCATTCCTACTATAAATATGAAGAAAACAATGTATAGATTTAAGATAAGAACCAACCCAGACCCAAATGTCACAGTATACAAACTATGGATTTGGTGTTCAGTTATTGCGGAGCCTGGCTCCAAGGTGTCTGCTTATAATCACTCTAAGAAGAACCAGCCCCCAAATGTAAAGACAAGTAATTCTAAACCTTTCCTATTTTTTTTACTAGGTCAATGAACTTACAGATCAAATGAACAGTATTTTAAAAGCAAATGTATTTTATTTTCATGATATCATCTGAGAGTCTTAAATAGACTCATAATCAATATGGAGAACGGTAACTGGATAAATGTATAGTTAGCAAGATATAAAGATTGCTGAATATAGGTCACACTGCATTCTATCCTAGTTTTGACCCTGCTATATTCAACATTTTAGTTAAGGCACTGAGTTACTCTTATCATGCTTGTAGTTTTCCTCATTCTAATGCATTTGAGTGACAGGAATACAATTCCATAGATCTTGATATATAGATTGAAATCATAGATTTAAAACAACGATTTGACAAAACTTTTGAAATTTTCCTTTGCTTACAAAACCAACATTTTGCATATAATATCTTACAGTAGAAATTTGGGAACTAAACAACTATAGAAATATACATTGTATAACAGAAATTATCTCTACTTTCTCTGTCAAAAAAAACCCAACCCGTGTTTATGTCTAGCATTGCGTACTCAATACTATAAAGCAAACATTTTTCAATGACATTAAAGTATTTGAAATATTCCACATTTATATAGCATAGTTTGCTTAAACCATCATATATGACATTAGGTTGTTTCCAAAATTTACTGTTTATGGAGACCCTATAAACAAGGATAAATGTTATATCTAGTCTTCAGCACCAAATTAAATTTAAATGTTAAAATGCTAGCTGAGAGAAATCTGTTTTTGTAACATTTAAAGAGAAAATTCCTTGATTACTGTATGTTTGGTATATGTAATTATTTTAGATATTGGTACTTTTCATGTGGCATTCATCTTCACAATTATTTGTGTCACTATCATCTTCCTTATTTTACCATAAGGTTCCTAAATATGGAGTTTCTATTTTACTAATTTCTGAATGTCCTATAGTGAATATATATTCAAAAAAAGTTAGAATTTTATTGAAAACTTGTGATTCAGCTGCTGTATAAGTTACACAGTTTTAGAAATCTTTGATTTACTATTGGTGCCCCTAGCCAAGAAATGTTGGATTTGGAAAACTAATCAAATTAGATTTACTTCTAGCAAATAACTGGCATTATAGAGTTTGAAAATGATATTTCCCAGGGTCATGAGTATTAGATTTCAAATCTTTAAGACTATCAGGTAGAAATGATACTCAACTTACTCTGCTTTGGTTCAGAGTGCAAAACAAGTTTTAACAAGAGGAAGTCATAATAAGGCAGGATTCCTCTGGCTGTTAAGAAGATCTTTCCCAGTGGAAAAGTTTGTTGCCATCCTAAGAAAGGAGTTTTCTCTTTCAGGGAGCAGTGAGTTCTGTAATAATCAGGAGGTTGTGTTAAATGACCTTCATAATCACTCTCATGTCTATATTTCCTAATGATTCTAACACATAATTAAGTCTTTACAGTCAATAACTAAAAGCCATAAGGAGATGTAGTACATGACTGATTGTTTTTTATTCTGATTCTATGGAGTAGGTTTTGAGAGTGATTATTAATTTGTATTATGTAATGAGTTCTACCCTATATTTACAGGGTGAATGCACAGTTTCCTTATTTCTCCATCCCAAAGAAAATGAAGTAGTATTTTCAATTACAGCACAGTAGTGATTATAATATAGAACAATTACAGAATCATGTCTTACTACTCTTTTATTAAAAGTGATTCATTTTTCTTTCTTTTAAGGTTTAGTATATGTTTAAATGCAGTTTCACGGTATATTGCATTGTCATTTCCCTTTACCCTCCATAGGCACATCTATCTAATTTTATAAGTAGATATTAATAAGAAAATATTAATATTACAAAAATTAAGAGCCAAATATTTAGTTGCCCAAATGTTCTATAAGATTAGACATAACTGCAAAAATTAGCTTTGTATTTTCAGAATCTCTGCGTTCTGGTCTGTACATTTAAAATTATATATATTCTTAATCTGCAAAGTGCTATCTTCTAGCCAGCACTGTATGCAAAGAAAGTTTGCCTATGCTTAAAAAAATACTCAAATAAATAAATAATTATGGGATCCTACTAAAAACTACATTTTCTTTGCAAAGAAAGTTGGCTCATGGTTAAAAAATATTCAAATTATAAATAAATGCTCTTGGAATTCTACTAAACACCACATTTTCTTTTTGACTAGAAATAAACCTAATTTTAATCACATAATGGTCATTTTGTGTTGGGTGCAATGTCTGAATTTATATTTTAAGCTTTTTTTTTTTTTTAGAACTGTGTTCCTTTCTGCTTTCATCTTGACATAACTCGTCAATAGACTATAATTAAAGTTGTTTGAGGTTCAGTGATTGATTCTGAATAATGAATCTATGGAGATCCTAGGGAAGATAAAAGTTGTGCCTGGCAGATGCAGAAAATTTAACTCTTAGTATCGTTTTAGCCTTCCAAAATGGAAGTCCTTCAGGCCCTCACATATGGAAAGACCTGTCTTCAACAAAAGTTAGCCTTGTTAAGCTATACATGTCAAAGCGATTTTTACTTAAGACATCATGGAAAGGATTTTATTCCTTCACTGTTAATTGCCAGTTTGGAAGCTGAAATAAGAAGATCCTGAGGCTTTTCCCATTTTCTCACATTAAAGGAATCAGTCCTTATGTATGAGGCAGGGAGATTACTACAAACCCTTCCCTTACCTCTTGGCAAGATCAGGGAAATTGCTAAAATGAATCTTGATCCTGCCAGATCTCTTCTCCTATGCTTGTGTGAAAAGGCAGTTTCAATGCAGGCCTCTTATGATTTCTTTGGAAATAGATCTTCCAAATAAGTTGGATTACCAGAACGATAATGATTGCCATCCAAAGAGGTAACATTACAATCATAATAAGAGGAGCTCTATGAGACAGAGGATATGATAGTTACAGAAGGAAGGATTGTCTCACAATTATAGAAATTGTCTGTTTCGTAATGCCCATGTATTGAGGTGATGGCCTCTCATGTCTTGGGTCACAAAATGTATTATTTCAAAGACTGATGATCTGGTTCCCCCCGCCTCCTGCCAAAAGTATAAACAGAAAATAATTGAGATTCTAAACCAAGAAGTGTTTCCAATAATGAATTTGGGAACTCAAATATTTGAACATATTCACTATTTTAAATCAAACAAGGGGAGTGTGTTTTTTAGCCTTGGAATAACTGTCAACATAAAGATATGTATGGACTAATGGGTACTTGATGTTAATCTTTTATTGTAATTTTAAAAGACTTTTAACTTATTTGATTAAAGAGTAATTAATTCATTACCAAGTTCAAATAATTTTATTTAAAAATTTATAATGTAAAATAGTCTATATGATAACAAAAAATGCATTATACCAACTATTAATAAGCATTTAAAATGTGCCAGGCAATAGATTTGTCACTGATGTTTGTTAGTGAAATTTATATTAATGCTGTAAACATTTTAAATAGCATGTAGAATTAACTATCAGAATGAATTACACTCTATGTTTTTCTCCTTTACCCCACCCGTTATTTCCTACAGTTAGACCAATAAATTGAAGAGACACTACATTTACTTTCTATGTTGAGATTACTTTCCTTTGCTATTTCAGTCACCCTAACTTAAGTCAGATAAAACAATTTTATTTGGCTTCAATATGGTGCTATTTTGATCTGAAGGTCAATCTACCAACAAGGAAGAACAGTTTCTCATTATTTTCCTTTGGCACTCCAAGCGGTCTTTACTGATGTCTTTCGAGCAATGTCTGACCTCTGTTTCAATACTTCTCACAGATTTCACAGGCTGTCACCACTGCTCAGCCATCACTGACACAGACAACTGTAATGGAAACAGTAACTATGGTGACCACAAGGGAGCAAATCCTGGTAAAACATGCTCAAGAGGAACTTCCACCACCACCTCCCCAAAAGAAGAGGCAGATTACTGTGGATTCTGAAATTAGGAAAAGGTGAGAGCATCTTAAGCTTTATCTGCAAATGAGGTGGAGAAAACTCATTTATAACAGTTTTGTTGGTGGTGTTTTTACTTCAGCAGTGTTTCTGGAAGCCTTGGGTACCTGTAATGTCAGTTAATGTAGTGAGAAAAATTATGAAGTATGTTTTAAAATTTTCCCAAGAAATCACTCTCCCAACAAAAACTAAATGCTTGATGGAAATGGTGTTTTCTGGAACGGAAGAAGAAACTATAGGGGATAAACTACTATGGTAGCATTTTAATCCTAAAAGAGTTTTTTTTTCTTATAAAAGCCCTGCTTGTTGAGTCCCTAGTTTTGCATTAAATGTCTTTTTTTCCAGTAATGGAAAGTACATTTTCATGAAGAAGTACACCTATAATAGATGAGATCCATTCTGCTAGTTTACGAGAACATAATGTCTCAATCTGTACATCCTAAATCAGGAGTAATTACAGAACAGATTTCCTGTTCTTTGATATTTATAAAATCTTATCTTGAAGGTGTTAGAATTTTTAACTGATCTTTTTGTGAATATTCAGAACTACGCATTTTAGATAAGTTAGGTATTATGTAAATCAGTGGATATATTAAAATGATGGCAGTAAAATTTTATGAGTGCAAAGCTGGCATAAAAATTATTTTAAAAGGTACAATTTTTCTTTCATTCCAGTTATTGTAATTCTAAGATTAAGAAAGAACATTAAAATCTGCCGTATGTCTCTAAGCAGCATATGTTTAGGAACTCATGGAACACTTGACATTAGAATTTGTGTATACCAGGGTAAGGAAGTATGAAAAGAACACACACCTAAAAATAGTGTGTCAGATGTTCTAAGAAAATTTTAAAAATCTAGAAAAGTTATCCAAATATATCATTTGGAACTTTCAGTACTTCTCTATTAACTAATGACTTAAGACCTGCTTTGATAATTCCAAAGTAAATCACTGGGCCTTTTCTTCCTGTTGTGTCATCATGGCTAAGCAAATCCTCTAGCTGAGGGGTCAGCAAACTAAGACCTGCTAACCACATCTAGCATGCTGCCAGTTTCGTAGGGCTCGTCAGCTAAGAAGTGTTTAGATATTTTCAAATGGTTGAAAATAATCAAAAGAAAAATAATACTTTATGACATGTAAAAATTACATGTAATTCAAATTTCGGTGTTATAAATAATGTTTTATTGGAGCACAGCCATGCACATTTATTTATCATTTTTGATTACCTCCACATTACAAAAGCAGAGTTTGTATAGTTGTAGCACAAATTGTACAGTCAACAAAGCCATAAATAATAAAATATTTACTATCTGTCCTGTCACAGAAAAAGTTTATTGACCATTGCTCCAGTGGAATGGTTCTCAAACTCTACAAATATTAGCATTCTTTTTGGGGCAGAAACTTTCAAGAACTTCTAAGGACTCTACTTGTGATGGTGGTAGAAGGACTAATAATAATTGATGGAGAAAAAAGCATAATGGCACAAACCAACAAAGCTTTTGATGAATTTCCTTTTTATTAATCCTAGTAGGTTGTACATTGATTTGTTTGTTGTCACATTAAACGTGTTTACAGACAACCCTTAGAGGACATATGGATTTTTAGATACTTTGCAACATTGCAACAACCCTCTGACAGTCTTCCAAACAGAGGAATAGGGACACCTAGTTGCCTAACCCTCTTAATGTCTTCAGAACTTGCCTAATACAGAAATTAACAAAACAACGTGATTCTTGTCAGTCTCGGTCTTCAGAAGCTTATTCTTGGCTCCTGTTTGGAGAATGATTTGGTTAAAAAAAATGTGTGGTCTGACTTCTTTTTGTTTTCAAGAAAGAGTGGCTGGTAGCAAAATACTCTGTCGCCAAAATTTGTTTGTATCATAAGTTTTCAACAATTTTTGTAAGTGCATAAATGCCAAGTTCCATTGGGTACATAAAGAAAAATCCTTTAAGTAAAAACTAACATTAATTGAATTTATTATGTGTTCAGTAGTAGATTCAATGCTTTATTGACATCACAAATGTTTTTCCCAATAACCTCCCAAAATGCGTATGGCTATTATTACTTTATAAAATAATACACAGCTACAGAGCACCTGAACCAGGATTTGAACTGAGGTAGCTAAAAACCTGGGCTGTATAGTAAAATGTCTTTTTCATAGATATGCGACTAAGGTAATCCTATTGATTTACCTGAAGCTATTCCAGATTATACCTGTTGTCCCTGCATATTTATAGAGAGCTTCAACTATCACTTTCAAATGTGTCCTGATTTGGACAAAAATTTAACAAAATTATTGGAACACTCTATATAAGATATTAGATTGATATATTTAGACTGAACGAAGATAGCAAAAAGGTAGACATTTAGGAACAAATTCATTAATTGATAATTGTCTACAAGATGGAATCTGGTTAAAGTATTTTAATGATTAAAGAGGCATCTTCCAAATATAACCAGAAGCTTTATATATTAGCTAGTGTCCCATTTCTGTCCCATGTGAAACCCACTAATATTTCACTGTGAATATCGAGGTCTTGACTATCTGTCTAATAGTGTTTTATTTAAGTGATGTCCTCTTCCAGCTTCTAGGACACACTACCAGTTGTCACCCACCACTCTTTACCTGACTCGTTTTCTTCCTTCTGCCTAATTCCTACCGGAGTATCTCACAAATCCATCTCTTTGCCTTTCTGACTTCTTTATTTGGATTGTCTCCTCTCATTGATTCGAGTCTGGCTCTAAGTGAATGACTCCCAAATCATGTAGTTCCAGATTTGACTCTCTCCCTCAAAGTAAAGCTTTAAATCTCTAAAGCTATTTCAACTGTGCATCCAGCCACTGCCTCAATGTTCATTTTTATCAAATGCAAACATTTGTTCCTTCCAATTAACCATATCTACTTATACATCGCACACATATTTTAGTTATTTTAATTTATTTATTATGTGTCTAGAGAAGTAGCAAATATTGTAAAAAGCATGGCTTTTGGAATCAGAATTACTCAGGTTTGAATGCTGCCTGCTTTTTTTCCCCCAACTTTTAGGTTCAAGGGATAAACGTACAGGATTGTTACATGGGTAAATTGCATGTTGTGGCTGTTTGGTGTACAGATGATTTTGTCTCTCAGATAATCATCATAATATCTGATAGTCAGTTTCTCCATCCTCACCCATCTCCTGCCTTGTACCCTTGGCCCCAGTGTCTATTGTTCCCTTTCTTGTATCCATGTGTACTCAGTGTTTAACTCCCACTTATAAGTGATAACCCCTGGTATTTGTGAAAACTACCTGTTTTAATTATTAGCTTATGAGCTCAGGCAAATCACTTAATAGCTATGCCTCCAATTCCAATATTCTCACTTGATAAAACACCAGTCATGAGGATTCAATAAGAAGCATTTAATACATTACCTTTAAGATAGTAAGCATTCAGTAAATGCAATGGTTATGATTCTTGTTTGGTGGTGGAGACCGTAGAGATGATAAAGACGGAGGAAGATTGCGATGGGTAGTAGGGGTGGAAGTGATAGTGGGAAAGGTAAAGATGGTAGAGATGATGGTGGTGGTGGTGGTGGTGGAGGGAGTGGTGAAAATAGTAGTCATTTCTTATTGACAGGGAAAAATTCCATAATAAACATCATCTCAAACCTGACAAATATAAAGTTACCTTTGTGTCTTCCTCTTCAAAACAGAATTTACCACTTGACTTCTCCAGTTCTGTGAATCTTTCTTCTTATTATTTATTATAATTAGATTGTATTATTGGGTAAGTGCCATCATTTCAGTCATTTCATGATCATTCTAATTGCCAGGTCCATAACCTGAGCCATATACCTCACTCTGGGGAGAACTGCTCTCCTTTCTAATCGATGTACCTAAAATTAATATATCTAAAATGTTGCTTTTTGCTGTCTCTCCAGACCTGCAAATTCCCATAACTCCAGAAGCCTCCAAAATAAAATCCAGGCCCTTCCTATAGCATTCGATATTATTCTCATTCTCCACTAATTTTATGTCTAGCTTCCCAATAATCATTCCACGTCAGCCATTAAATTCCATTACATTCACTTTGTTATATGCCTTCATGCTACTCACATAAAATTTCTCACTGCCAGTCCCAACGAAGGAAACCTATTACTATACTTCTTTATATTTATTTAGATCCCATTGAGGTAAATACTGTGCATATAACAACCAATAAATGTTTGTTGAGAGAATGAATGATAAGTAATTCAAATAATTACAGTAACTAAAATTTGACATTCCAATATCACTTTAAAAGTCTGCCTAGCTCTTCCCAGAATTGTTCTGAAAAGTAAACATGTGACCATTCTAATAATCTTTAATTATTCCAATATTACCCACTAGGGTATCCTTATTTACTGAAAACTATTAAGGGATTTAAAATTCAGCTCTCTACCACAGCATAGTTCCTTAACCATCTGAGGTACATTTAGTTGATTCCTAAATTACACAGTATCTACATATATTGTATTTATTGCATAAATTTTCCTCCTTACACTGAGATTTACAAAAGTGTGTGATGATTTGGGTCAAAAAGATAATTAATTCTAATGGCAAATTATTCCTTCAATTCAGTGATATTACTTTAAATGTAGGTAATTATCAGAGCATGGAACTCAGACTAGGTTAGAAGTAGATCTGTTATCTAGTTAATTGACATTTATCCAGGAGATTAGTTCCTAATCATGTAGCAGTTATTTTAAGGGATTTTTCAAAAAAGCTTCAGTTTATACTTTTGTAGCAACAGGCAAAATGAAGGGCAAACTGTTTTTAAGTAAATACCATCTCAGTAAAGATAATTTCTCCCAAGTAAAGTGTTCATAAATGAATATCTTTGTTTTCAGGACAGAATGTAAGTTTGCTTTTTCTGGCTATTGCCTACATGCTAAATAAATAGAAGGATAAATTAACTGATCAACATACCTGAATTATTACTATATATTCTACTTTTCAGTTTGTTTCTGGTTTTGTTTG